AAAACCAACTTTCTCGTAAGTAGCTAAAAATTCTCATGAGAAATTTACGCAAAAATCCAGAAAGTTTATTCAACTCTCAACTGTCAAAAGCTTCCCACACGACGAAATCACCGATAAACAACCCAAAATTTTCCACCATCCTTTTCTAGAATATCCAATAAAACAAATTTTTTCTCAATTTTCCCTCATGCAACCTATACCGTATCTACTCTGCTGCCAATTCAACAAATTATAAAATTTTTCTTTCAACAAAACGGAAAAAATCCTAAAATTTGCGATTTGGGAAAAAGAATATATGTAGTTCATTTACTTCATCGCGGAGTAGATCGAGTTCCTGTCGAACTTTGAGATTTTCCAATCGCAGTATACCCAATTCTCTATCGGTGATGGCCACCGAAGACTCTTTCTGAAACAACATGATATGACTGCAGTTCACTAACACCACCATCTTAGTGTTCACCACCTCCTTTATCATTTTGCCGTAATTCTCATCGATTTTATGCAACTCAGCCAGCTTCAATTCTTTTTCCTTATGACGTTTACTCTCCTTTGCGTGCCTATCACCAGCGAAAACCGTCACTGCGCCACGAAATTCAACCAACGTAAAACAAATTTCCCCATGGAATTTTCAATACACCCAAAGAATCACCATTCGCATTTCTCACACACGCGACGGTAAACAATATCATATAATTTATAAATGTATTATTGGAGTTTCACCCGTGATATGAAAAACACTAGTGAAAAATATTTTTGACAATTCCCTTCGCGGGAAAAATTGTGGTATCGATCGCGGGGACATACGCGTCTTAAATTTACATGGAGTATTACGCCTATCCCTGGAGAGGTGAAACTCCATTTTTTCCTACAATGATATTTATATAATACCACAAAATCGATAATAACATTTATTGAAAAAATACCTCGCGAAAAAAATATTTCTTTTTCTCCCCATCCTACTGTTCTCCCAGGGCAACCAGTTGCGCATCTTTACGTTTATTGGTATCAACTCCGGCTTCCCACGCAGCAAGATCACTAAAATGACGGGAAAAAATGCAACATGCCGGGATCGAACCCGGGACCTCTTACGCCGCTCTACCCGCAGTAGCTTGTGCCAGCTGCTCTCCCAACTTATTCATTTCGAGTTGCATCGCCTCCGCTTCTGTTGCCTGATACCAAATATTCCTTACACCAACACTACGAAAAAATTTTTGCCACCATATTATCATCCTAAAAATCTCGAAAATTTTCCGAAAAAAAAACTACGAAAACTATGAGAATACACAACTAGAGTAGAAAAGGATACTTACAAGTGATAATTTACTACTGCGCATAAGACTTTTTTTATGCAAATTTATGAGAATTCCATTTCTCGGCTAATACGGCGAATATTCATATAAACTTTCGACATGATAAATGTACTCATCTAACAAGTATGTAGTTTCTCGAAACGACTGATGGAAAGGCGTCTACCAAACTCACCCGTCCGCTGAGCTCCTCTTTGAGATTGAAAACTTTTCTCAGACTTTCTTCGACCTGCTTTCGTAGAGTTTTAACCTAAAATATATTTTTTTATCACCAATATGATCAAATCTGTACTCAAACATTCATTAAAATCTAACACTGGAGTTTCACAACTACCCGTTTTACGTGAAGTGGCGTAATACTCTGTGAAAAAACGCAATATTATCGCTATGCAGTAGTCGTGAAATATATT